CAATAGTAACGTTTCATATAAACAATAAAACATTACTTATTTACTAATCCGGTTAGATTACTTATTTACTAATCTTATTATCGGATTGGCATGAAGCTTGATGGGTAGATGTTTGTGCCCTTAGTTACTGTACATGTAGACTTTTCTTCTCAGATAAAAATGTTTAGACTCATTTCAAGCGGTTAGAGATATGCCTCTTTCGTTTACTTGGATGCGCCGTGAAAAAATTCCAATTTCAATCATATTTTATCTCATTCAAACTATTTCTGTTTTGCTCACACCTAGTGTGTATTATTTCTATTCGCGCCGCTTGCCTCAAGGTAACCACTCTATTTCTTTGAAATAAATTGTTTGATTCTCGTTTTATTATGTTCATTAGTATCGCGCGTGGTCGAAATTTGATCAATTTATTTTATCTAGTACGTATCAATAAAGAAAAACCAATAGCATCGACTGGAAGGCGGGCATTCTTCCACTGAACAACTGATGCATGTTCTGATATTCTTTAAATGAAGGTGTCATCAGTGTAATTACAAACTAATTTAAATCAAATTTTACCTAGTATGACATAGAACCTACCTTATTTCGAATCTCTTCTTTGAAATTTAGGCGCATAGTAAAAAGAAAGAGTACCAGAAGTTATATACCTATATAAAATTTTATTTAAACCATGGTGTGATGTGATTTCATGCTATTCAAGCCGTGAATAAAGGCTAGTTTAGTGATCATCATCATAAGATCGTCAGTCCTAAGATGGTTTGGATACGCACCTCCACTCCTTCCTATTCTGAGCTAATCTTTGCATTTCCCTAAAATTAGAACAACCCACATCCTTAACTATTTGCGAGCAGTAATCTAATCTGGGTCTACCTCTACCCCTCCTAACTCTCGTTTGTGCCTCTACTATGTCTCTGACTAGACCTTCATGCCTGAGAAGGTGTCCAACCAACCTATCTCGCCTATTTCTTATTGACTTCCATACAGTCCTCTATTCTCCTATTCTTTCTAATACCTCTTCATTTCTAACCTTCTCTATCCACGTTATCCTCATAATTCGCCGGTAACACCACATTTGGAAGGCTTATAATCTATTCCTTTCCATCGTCCATGTTTCACACACGTCTAGCGCCGCCCTCCAAACATACACCTTTAACAATCTCTTTCGAATTTCTACATTAATCGTTCGTGTGTATAGAAGTGACTTCTTTTTATTGAAGGCGACTCGACCCTGCGCTATTCTATGCTTTTTAATGATATAATTGAAAAATCACACAGAGATTTCTTAAACCTCCGTACAATTTGTGGAATCACCCCTCTCTATTAGATCTGTTTTCTTGTATATAAGCTAATAAACATTTCTTTGTTTGTTTCATTTTGCATGCATCATAAAGCTCACGACGTGACTAAGTCAGTAAAGTTCAGCTTTTCAGTAGACGATATTGCACCCCATGTAGGGTCAACAAAGCTTTCATAAAAAATCTATTGAAGATAGTAATACAACTTTATTCGATTTTACATAATAACTATCCGTCATTTGAAAGCATCTACCATATTGAATTGTAATTACAAAGAGCACATGATGCATTGTCATCTGATACGAACATTTTCTATTTATTTTAATTCTAATTTGTTAAAAAGAGATGCCACGTAGGAATTGCAAGGAAAATTAATAAAGAAAAAGGAATAACATTACACCAGTTAATGTATCACAGAAAGAGATGCAGACAAGCAAAATTTGAGCACTTTAAAGAAAGTTCAACATGATCCGGAATTTAGGAAAGTTATTACGCTTGTTTACAGATATAATTCCAGGCAGTTATAAAGCCGACCCTGATCTTTTGCCTACCTAAGTAGCATGTAACCCCTCACTGCTTAGTATTATTCGGTTATCTCTTTTCACTTTGTCTGTACTACTCATGAAGTATTTTCTAACTTAACAAGGTCGTATCCAAAACGCAGCAAATGACTACAATCGCAAGTGGAAACAAGAAAGAAGATACGTTCATTCTCACCGATTGCTTATTGCGGACTTTGCCAATTTTGATCGTCACNAGCATACCAATCCTTGATGGTTGATTTTCCTGGGGCAGTGTCCGGAAATTCGTTATCAAGCCAAGTTTTTGCTTCAACTGTATTTTTTCCCTTCAAAAAGCAATATTTTATCAACACGCGAAATTCCTTTTTATCCATTTTTTTTACAATAACAAAAGTTGCTTCACTAAAAATGCTATAATTCACAAACTAATGATCCGACAGCCGTCAAATTTATAGACGCGTCTTTTGAAGGTTATGACTAACTGAAAATCATATGGATTTAGTTCTGGTGCCGCCATCTATGTGTCAGGCCGGGGACTTTTCAATTGACCCTAGTATTGCACAGAAAACTATTTCTCATCACATTCGTGACAAATGAAATCCTCGATATCTTCTGTAAGCCCTACACATAACTCATGAACATATCTACCACATAAAAGACAAAGACGCATAGTCATAACATATTCCGTTTGACAAACGTAGCAGTATCAATGATCTCCCATGACAGGATTCTCTCCAAAATTATCATCAGAGGAACTATCAGCGTACGGCACAACATCTTCATCAGATTCCGTGTCGCTTTTTATTATCGTTTTATTTGGTTTAGTTTTCTTATGGACGGATTGACTTTTCTTATCTTTCTGTTTATCTTTTTTTCCTTTAGTTTTTCCGTGAGTCTTGTTAGTTTTTTTATTAGAAAAGTTTCCGCCACCTTCAGTGTCACTTTGAGTGGGAGACATGAACCACTGAGCAAGTCTCCCGCAACCACTCTGGTTCAACTCTCCCGCTCACACTAATTCCCAATTTAGGTTATGACAAAGAAAAACCTCCGATCGTGGATAAAAAAAACTTAGCACACGTTAAACTACATTTGTCTGGCAATATAATAATAGCAACACACAATAAGTACCTCAATAAATACGACAGCAATCACAAAACTACTTAAAACAAAAAAATATACTCCGCAGCAACAAAAACACGTTTTACATTGTCATTGACGAACAACACCACTTTGGTGCAAAATCGCTGCATACTTATGATTGGCCTCTTGCGTGCGACCAATGAATGCTTTAACGTTTCGTTTTTGCTAAATTTAAATACAATTTTGAAAGGTGGCTCAACTCTCCCACCTGGGCAAGTCTCCCGGTTTTCCCCTACCCTTTGGTCTGTAACACAGGGTTGATTATAATATAATTAAGGTTACGGCTCCAGGGCTAAATGGATCATGTAATTNTTACATGCTGTAAAGGGCCATATTGATCTATATTAAATGCACGATGTATTTAAAAATACTTAACTGGATAAGGATTAATGCTGTATTGTTTAAAATCGCTTCGTAAATAAGCCATTATTTCTCGTAAAAAGTAAAGGATAAAAAATGGTTATTGTGGGTTATCCCTAAGAGACAGACGTATACCATCGCGGACATTTTTGTAAACCTTTTTAAGGTGTACAATACTGTAGTATATTATTTTGATCTATCTCGTAGGGTTCAGCCAGCGTTTGCAATGTAAGCGCAAAAAAATGTATTTATTAACGATATTACATTGCAAGCCTCTAAAATTATCAGTGTTTCTCTACTATATTGTGCATGTATTATACATATAAACTTCCTCTTGAATTACTCTATCTATTAAAAAAAGACGCATTAAAATCAGTTGCATAGTTTTAAAGATCTAAGCATACATAGGGACAGACAGCGCGGGAAATGCGTTGCATGATTTCGTTACATAGCAACTCGCATGAAACGAACTTACTCTACTGTGCGTAAAGAAGTTTCACTTCAAAAACATTTCAAACTTTCATTAAAGGCAATACACACATAATGATACATATTTTGAAAAACAAAATGGACTTTGAGAATATAACATTTCACTTTAGAGAAAATTTACCCGCTCTAAATGACCGAGGACCACGTGACCTCCGTGTGTGTGGTTGCAACCCAAGATGCACAAAGTCTGACTAATAATTGATAGACAGTGGTATTTTTAGTAATTAACTAGAAACCAGATTCAGAGCGCCAATCCCAATTTAACAAATACACTTTCGGTTATGAAAAATAAGGTTACGTGGCTCTCAATATATGAAGGCATTGTATATTAACGCATTACTAAAAATATGTTTGGACGAAAAAACTATACATCGCTCATTAAAATGTAGATGTGGTCAATAAATATACACTGGAACGTTAACGAAACACGACAAACCAATAATGTACCTATGCAGTTCAGACGGAACATTCTGTATGCGTGTACATCTTAATCTTTGATTACGTATACGTATATAGATTTTAGTGCAATAGTCAGCTTTTGTAAAGAATTTATGGTCAATACGGAATCAGATGATCTTGAATATGCAATTACAGTGCAATTCTTGCAAAATGTATGCCTAAGAAGAAGGTGTGGAAGCAATAAACTACCTACATTTAATAGTTAATAATAATACTATTATATTTTAGTAATAAATATATACAAACATTATATAAATACTTCTTTTAAGTTTATTATATGTTCCTTATCCTAAAAATGAGTGAGGCTATTATTTTATATTATATTGAGAAGAATTTTCTATTCTCTAAAGTGCAATAATCCATTCAAGTTTGAAAGCTATCATTTCAAACTGCAATCAATCTATTATAAAGAAGGCAATATTAAAATTAAAGCCCTTCATTTTAATTTGCAAACCATCCATTTTAAATGTGCAAGTGGCAAAAGTTGATATTTTCTTTAAAATGCAATTGTATATTCCCCCAATAAAAAGTACCTAATTGTTATTTATTTATTAAGTAAACATGGTTTCAAGTAATAAGTTTAAAATTCAAAGAAGTTTTAATTGAAAAATAGTTATATTTTTTTGAGGTAAAATACATCTGTGAAACTAATTTCGTTAAAACAATAATTGCAAGAACAATATAGTTACAAATAAAGCAAATATAGTGTATACATTCAAGTAATTAATCTTTTCAGAACTATCCCATGATAAAGCAATTGCCAAAGCGTCACCTACAAGAAGAATGCCAAATTTGTCATTCCTTCTAAATCTATTCAGATCATGGCGAATAGGAGAGAACATACAACAAGAACAACAGGAAAAACTGGACTCGCCTGTTATTAACATTGTAACTGTATTGGACGACAATCAAGAAAAGATTATCGCCCCTACAATAAAACATTCTACTGTCCTATCAAAACATAAAAATGAGCAGGTACATTAATAATTTAATTACTATGCAAATAAAATCAAGTTATAAAATAACAGAAATATTCAATGACAGTTGATATTCAAAAGTAAAACTAAGATTAAGACCGTTTTGCATCACATTTAGTTTAGTATTTAGGTCTTGAGTCATCAACATCTTTCTCGAACATCTTTCTTCACTACATTCAATGAAATAAATACATTATAATAATGTATCAAAATAAAAGTTCACAGAAGAGTAATACAAGCAACAAGTTTTTACTAATCTGGAATTTATTATAATTGACCCAATAAATAAAAATGTTTATTATGATGCACATAAACTTTAATGTTTTTTTTTCAGAAATTTCTTCTTTTATTTTTAGATTCCGTGTCNACGTTTGTGCTTTTAAAAGTTTAAAAAAAAATAGTTTCAGATTAATTAAGTAAAAATTAAAATCTGAAAAATGTTTTAAATAAAATTGAATTAATTTTTGTTTAATATCATAATAATTCATTTAATTTGAGTGATATTCAATTTCATTGTCGAATTGGAATTATATTAGACATCATCTTATTTCCAGAATTAATTCGACAACATGGATTAAAGTTATACTTATATTAGTATTTAAATTTTTTATTGACCCATTTTTTCCGTTTTTTTGTGGGTCTTCTTCATTCAGTCCATGCCTTTTTTGATCCTGCATGTCTTTTCTTCTTAATTTTACCAATGTCATTTTCATTTCCATTCATTACAACATCTAAACGTTACTATCAATTTTGTTTTTATTTTCCTTTCAATTATAAATATTTTAGTTTTGCGTTATTTCTCAAAATGTTCTGTTAATTCTCCTTCTCATTTACTTGTTCCTACTTCAGCCATTAGTGTTTTACTTTTACTTTATATTTTCCCAGCATTCCTTTTCTAATTCTCTTCTGCATTTTTTAGGATTCGTATCCAGAAAGGTTATTCTTCTATAGTTTTCCGTTTACTTTTTGTCTCCACTCTTAACGATTGGGAAGATCCATCTCTCTTTCATCCTTCTGGTATATCTTCTCCGTTAATTTTTTTTGTATTATTTTTCCGTGTCTTCGAACTGTCTTTTCGTTTGCGTGAATCCAAGCTTCAATCCTTATGTTGTCTTCTGCTGTCGCCTTTCCTGTTTTAGGCCTCTTTATTAAATTTGTTATTACCTTGTTTGTAATTTAAATTTTTTTTTTCGATTTTTTTGCATTCTCTGTAGATTTCTTTTTCATGTGTTAGTTTCTCTTCTCCCTTCTAATAGTTGCCTAAAGTGGTTTATCGACTCATTCTCTGTGAAACTTACATCTATTTTCACTCTTTTTTGTATTTCCTTTTTATTGCAGCTCTTCATTTCTGTTAACTTTTAAAAGTTATTCTTTTTCCATTTTTTTTTCTTTCTCTTGTTTTAGTTTACATAATCTTGCATGCTCTCATTTATCTCCTGATATTTTTATTCTCTAAAGTGCTATTTACCTTCCTTCTTAACAATTTATTCAGATTTACTTTGCTTTGCTTCTTCTACATTAATTATCCCACCATTTTCTTTTGTCTGGATTATTTTTCCTGATTTTTATGGTATTTTTTGTTAGGGCTTTCTTTACTTCGTTGGTTAATTGATTCCATTCATCCTTTATTCGTAATTTCTAGTACCTTCCTCTTCCAGTCTTCAATTACTCCTTCTTGGACTGTTTTTGCCTTTCTTGTTTAGGCGTTTCCTAGGGTTACTTCCGCAGGTCTGTGATCTGAATCCACTCTCTTACTTACCTTACATTCGTGTACTACCTTCCACGCTTCTCCGTAATCAGTAACTAATCCTTTTTTTTTCAAAGAATGTGGCTTTCCCTTCTTCATCTCCGTATTTGTCACCGTTTAGAATTTCAAGTATCATCTTTTCTACCATTTCCACATCGTTTCTCTGTTTTTTTCTGTATTTATCGACAAAGTATTTTTTCTTTTCTGCTTCTCTGTTATCTTCCTCTTCCAACATATTTCACGCTCTGATGTGTATTTCTACCATTTTTGCATTAATTAAACCCATCAAATTTTGCTCACTTCTTATCTAAATAAATATTTTTACTACTTCCGGTCAACATGCCTCCTGTCGTTTTTCTCTTTTTCTTCCGTTCGTGCTTGCATTGCCCAGTTACAATCTTTGGAATGTAATTTTTCGATATTTTTGCAATATCTCCGTTACGTTTATTACGTCGAAATCTTACATACCTCCAAAATCTTCATACATGCTTCCTAACTAGTTAAAAGTTGTTGCTATGCGAGAACTTAAAAACACCGTGGATTGGAAAGGTTAGAAATGAGGAGATATAAGAACTAGACGAAATAGGTTGTTAGAATACCTTCTCCGATATAAAAGGTTAGTTAGAGACACATTACAAGCAAAACCAATAATTAAGAGGGGCAAAGGGAGACCTGTTTTAGATAAATGTTCTGAAGTATAGCTGCAACGGTGTAAGTTGCACTAGTTTTCAAGAAGTACGAATATTGGTTCAAGATGATGAAATGGTAGTGCTTGCCCAATCAGTCTTCTGGCTGAAAACCTTAGTAGTAATTGGAAATTCGGATCTTTTTGGAGAATCGTGCCATCGTCTCTAGATTATTGCAAAGATTCGGAAAATAATCCAGTTTTTGAATCGCAGTAAATCTTACATCTGCGTGACCCGATTGTAATAATTATATAACTGTATCTGCATTCAAGAGACTTGAGATCAACTCAAAGCTTACATTTCTTGCTTCTAAAAAGAGAAGCGAAAGCGCAAAAACCGTTCGTTAATAGTAATTCGTCGGTTTTACTTTTTTACTAATCTGACTAAGATCCATGACCTGACATTCAAAATTTTAGGAGCCAGTTCATTTCACTTTTGAAGGATCCGAATCAGTGAACCGGATCAAATCTGGTCCGGACATTAGTAATTGATACTGATGGTCTGAAAGTTTATTTGTTTCATCTTCTGAAGTGAAATAAAATGAAGTTTCAGTACGTATCGTCTAAAACCATCAAAGTTGCATATAAATAGTAGTTAATATGATTGGATTTAAAATTCATTCAGCTGCATAATTTTTAAACGATTTCGTGTTATTTACATAACAAATATAGGAATGCAACAGGCTCTGTCTGGAAGTCAAACTTCTCTTTCTAGCAAAGTAAAGCCAGAACGAAATGTCACAATTTTAAATATCATTAAAGTTTACTTCTTGGTTAATTGCTCCACGATTCTGATGAAAAGTTAATGGTTCGGTTTTCTAAATATCGCATGAAATCAACTCAAAAGATTTTCCACGAAAAGCAAAAACTCGTTTACGCTTCAGTTGTGATATATGTGCTGGCAAATTGCCACTTTAAGAAAAATATATAAACGCCAAGCAATTGCAAGTTTTTCTTTTTTATATTTTCCAGATTTGCTTTACTTATTATTATTACTATTATTACAGAATGTGAAAGAGTCAATGTACCAAAACGCATACAAATATTAAGCACCTTTTAATAAATAGTCCTGAAAATAAAATTATTCTGAAGATTCAACAAAAAAGTACCGTAATTTTACTATCTCCATAGTCTCATTCTGATCGGAAAGACTATTCTAAACATAAATATATAGGTTTAAGCATAGTATATATTAGTTCGACGGATTTGTGACCTAATAAGTACAGTTTGTCGTTGTTGCTGTTGTCATCTGTCGTAGCTTAGTGGTCAAAGCATTGGCGCGTAAAGCCAAATAAAGCCAAAGAGCCCGGGTTCTATTCCCGGCGGGGGTGTGACAACAGCAACAATTTTTTCCTCATTAATTTGAGGAAGTGTGTAGTGGGTNCACTATTTATAACTCAAGAACGGCTGAACCGATTTGGTTGAAAATTGGTGGGGAGGTAGCTTAAAACCAAGACACGGATATAGAATACTTTTTAACCCGTTCCCATGGAGAAAAAAACTTGGTATAAGAAAACGCTATTGATATGAAATAACAAAACGCAACTGACAGTAAAACGAAAAATTTATCAGTCTAGTCGTTCATTTGTTAAAAATGGTATAACAAAACGCAACTGACATGGAATAACAAAGCGCAACTGACAGCTAAACGTCTATGGTTAAGTATGCCCTATTTATTTTACTGCTATCACAATCAATTTATTTCTCGATTCACTTCTGCAATGGTCACTTTATTTCTTTATCTCTCGGCGATCGTCTCTTCCTTTTGTTTACTTTCCGGAACCTTCTGGAAAACGTCCGTATAATTTATTTTTTCTTTGAACTGTTAACAGCTTTCCCAAAACGCAGGTGTGACACACACATTTACAAATACGGCACACATGAAGAAAGGTGCCCGCGGCTAGTCGGCGAATCGATAAGCCGCTCACACACACGTGTGCCCGATCGCACACAATCACGCTCGTGGTCGCTACACTAGATTATTTGTGGTCAGATTTACTTGAAACTTAGTCTTAATGGTCTCTCATTCAATTTCTGAAAGACCTATCTCGACATTTTAAAAAATTCAACCTCCAAAGGGGGGTTAAAAAGGTGTTGCAATTTTTGTTTGGGACATACTTTATTTGTGGTTGAATTTACTAGAAACTTGGTATATATGCTGTTTGATATTATTATTCAAATGAAAAGTGGTTGCAGCGTTTCCATGGGGTATATTTTATTTATACTCGGATTTACTCGAAGGTTGCTCATTGTCGAAATTAAGCAAATACGTATTTTGGTAATTTTTAAATATCAACCCTTAACGATGAAATGTTGTTATTACGTTTGTATTTGAAATCTAAGATGGCGACATTACATAAAATTAAAACGTTATAAGGGTGAATTGGGAGTTAAAAAATTTTATGGAGAAACAATATCAATTTCTGCGAGCGAAGCCGCGGGGGAAAGCTAGTAAGCAATAAATTATAAAAGCAAAATGTCAAATTGTTTATTGTTAAAACTTATTCATACAACTAGCGTCTATTTTAAGCTTAATTGTAATTAGTTACTCTCTTATATATTACAC